CCCCCCCGGGGGATCACAGGGAGACGGGATTTCTAACAGAAGCTTCTTGCGGAAGAATGGAGGCCCATCTCAGCTCGACCCAGTCAGCTGTGTGGTCCTGGGCAGGGAGGGGCACCTCTCTGAGCCTCAGGTTCCATCTGTGAGCTGCGCTGCTCACAGGCACCTCTCATGGTATCACTGGGGCCTGCCTCTTCGGGAACGCCTCAGGCCTCTGGAACCCCTCTGCCATCCCTTCCCCATCTGGACCTGTCAGCTAAGCTGCCATAGCAACCAGACAGGCGGCCGTAGGCATGTTTGCTCAAGGTCCAGGCTGCCTGGGGTCACAGACGGGGAAGCATCCACCAGCTCCTCCATCTTCACTCTGATGGGGTGCATCCAGGGGGTGCAGCTCCTCCTTCCACTTCCTGCTCAACTAAGACTCCCCTCCTTCTCCACTGTGCTCCTCCCCAGCCCTCACCAGGTGGCCAGAGTTCCCTACCTGCTCGGTGGCCTCCACTGTCCTAGACGAAAGGCCCAGCCCTGTTTGCAGCCTGGGTCGGCTCCCTTGCCTGCTCTTTCTGCACCTCCAGCTCCTGTCTGGGCAGCCCGAACTCTGGCTGCCTCACTGGGTGCAGCCCCCACCCCAGCCTGCTCCTGGGAACAGCTGCCCCTCTGGAAGCCTTCCCCGACATTCTCTCCTTAGCTGCTCCCTCATCACTGGACCCACCCTCAGGGCTATGAAAGGGCCTCAGGGACAGAGGGGGGTGGGTGTCAGGCCCCTGTCTGGAGCCCAGGGCCCAGCACAGGAGAGGGACCACCCAGGGGTGCTCAATGAATGGATCAATAAGTGAGTGAACGAACGAGTTTGGGGTGCTAAGGGAAAGGTGGGGTCCCGGGCCACCTTGTGAACACTCAGACACCTTGTGAGCACTCAGTCAATATTTCAGGGCCAGTACCAGTGTGGGGGAGGGGGAGGGTGTGGCCTGGTGGTCCAGGGGCATGTGGGTGGGGGCTTTTGGGTGGGAGCAGAGGGAGTGGGCTGGCAACACCCTTCTGGGAGGGCAAGCTGCTGGGCCGGGCAGAGGCAGGTGAGGGAGGAGAGGACACAGGTGGTGGGTGGGGTTCTCCAACTGTTCTGGAAGGTGCTGGGAAGAGTGGCTGGCGTCCCTGAGATCCAGGCTCCAGCTCAGGAAGTTGAGACCCCAGACCTCCCTCCTCAATGAAGGGCCAGTTAGCAAGACACCCTCTCCCAATCTCAAGTGGGCGCAGCCCTGAGAACAGACCGAGTGCCATCCACTCTCTTGAAACAAAGCGAGGGCATGGGGGGAGTCCTCTAGACCCCCCACTTTCCCACCCCCTCCACCTGCCCTGGTGACCCCCTGGGTTTCCCAGACCTTTGCTACCTAACCTCTGGCCATCAGTCTTGCTCCACAATGACCTTTTGGCTTCTGGAAACCACTGAACTTTTGCAATCACCCCTTAGAGATCCTCCTCTTGGCCCTTGATAAGACCAAGTGTGCACGCTGCCCGAGGAGCTGAGACCCAGTGCCAGGACTCGGGGTGCCGGGAATCCCCACCGCGTTTGTCCTGCTAAGCCCATGCCCTGACCTGCACCTCTCCACCCAGAACTCAGGCTGTGAGCCAAGGCTGTGACACCAAACCCTGGGGTCTGGGGTCCATGTTTGGTTTCCAAGGTTCCCTGCTGTGAAGAAGTTATGATGTTCTCGTCACCCAGTTCTAGACTAGTCCCATGATCCTTATATTCTAATTCCTGTGACAATATTCAGACTGCTCTTCTCCACCTTCATGGCCACTCCTGGCCCAAGCCACTGTCCTAGAGCCTGGATGATGGCAGCAGCCACCTCACTGCCCAGGGACCAAGCAGTGGCCGGGGCTGGTCACAGAATGAAAACCTGGGCTTCTGCTGCCCCTGCCCAACAGCTCTGGGGCCTCGCCAAGGCCCAAAGGGTGAAGGGCCAACCTCTTCCCTGGCCCACAGGCCCCGCACCATCCGGCTAGGCCTCCCCGCACATCCCCAGACCTGGGCACACGGCCTGCCTCTGGGACTGGGAAGTCCAGGCCTCTGCACAGCAGCCATACGTGCTGCAGGTGCTGATCAGCCCCCGGCCCACGCCCGTCAGGCAGGGCCTCCAGTTCCCACTGCGCTGCACTTCTCTGTCCAGCACCAAGCGGGCTGGTGTGCGTTCATCTCGGTGATTGTGAAAAGTGGACATGTCTGCTGCACTGGACAGAAGATCCCAGAAATAGGGACGATTTCATTCGTCTCCCCTGTACCTGCACCCAGGAGGGGCCCAGAAAACCCAGCTGGAGCCTGAGTGAGCCAGAGCACTTCCTGTCCAGGGCAGTGGGGCCGAGTAGGAGCTGCCCGGCGTAAGGGGCTGATGTTTCCAGAGGAGCCACAGGAAACACGGAGGGGGGGCCTTGGGCTGGGGCCCAGGGGCTGTGTGGGTAGCTCCCCTTAGCACCCCTCTCAGACACGAGGTGGGGCTGGGGCAGTAGTCAGAGCCACCCCTTGGCCATATGACAGCTGAGGCTGCCTTCTGGCTGCCAGGTCGTCTCCCTGGCCTCACCTCGGGAACAGAGCCGTGTCCCCCTGTCTAGTCTTGGGCGGGTGCCACCTCGGAGGGGGCAGAGATGCCCAATTTTACTGTCTTCTGTTCTTGCTCCAAGGGCAAGTGGCCAGGCCCACTGTGACATGGCCGGGGCTGTGGTGGACCCTGGCTGTCCTCTTGGCATGAGCCATGTGGCAAGGCTCCAGATGCCACATCGCCTGCCCACCTGCCCGCTGGAATGCAGCTGGGGCTCAGTGGGCGCTGCAGAAGGGCTTCATTTTCAAATGAACAGGCAGGTGGACGGTTGTTTCTGTCAATAATCTGGTTCTTCCCAACACAGTGGCCAGGAGGGAGGTCATACTCGGTCTATTTCTACAGCTTAAAATAGCTCACCTCAGACTACTTAGGTCACACTAACCCCATGGTGATGTTTCACTCACAGGATTGGGAAGTTCAGGCTCCTCTTCCCCTCCCCGCTGCCTCCCAGTCCTTCCTGGCTTCCTGGCAAGGTAGTGGCAGGGGGGTGGCCAGCAGACCTTGAAGGGCCTGGTGCGGGGGGGGCTGGGGGCTGCACCTCACTCCTTGAGGGGCATTGGTGTGTAGGCCTCACCCCAGCTGTCCCTACAGCTGTCCCCCACACTGTGGGTGGTCCCCTCAGCCTCTAGAGCTCAGCCAGCTCTTGCTTCCCAGTCCCCCTCGCTTATTTCCTGAGGGACCCTGACTCTGCTAAGCACCCCCCGCCCCCGCTCTTGGGAACTCTGGGTGAGTCGGATCTGGTGGGAGAGGAAGCTCCCCCTTCCGTCACTCACAGCAGTGGCCGCATTTCTTCAAGTGCTAGGGTCCTCAGAACCTCCAGTTCCTCCTGTTCTAACTGCAGACAGGTCCTTCTGCACCCCTGGTCCTTCCATTGAGAACCCCTCAAACTTGACTCCTCCAGTGACAAGGACACACAGTGTCCTTATTTTTCTAACGGGGCCGGTAGACAATGCTATACCCGCATGAGCCGCCCTGCACCATGCCGTCACACTAGGTGGGGGTGAGGAAACCTGTCACATCCCATCCCCTTGGGGAGCCACATGAGTCATGAGGCCAAGAAGGCCCGTCACCCAATGTGCAGCCCAGTTCTTTAACATGAGAACCCCGTTTTTGCCCCCAGGAACCTAGAGATATGTGGTGGAACCAGTATTCTCTGGAACCTGGTGGGGGGTAGGTAGGTGCTGGTGCTGAGCCTCCCACAGACAAGCAGGCGAATGCTGAGTGTCCCGGCCCCACGCCCACCTCACCGCACAGGCCTGCCCCACCTGCCCTGCAGAGGGCCGAGGAGTGGAGGCAGGCGCGCTCTCACGGCCCTGTGCTGACCTTTGCATGTCTTCCCGTCGGGCTGCAGCATGAATCCAACTGGGCAGCTGCATCGCACGCCCGTGGCCGTGTCCTTGCACGTCCGGTCACAGCCTCCATTATTGACAGCACACGTCTCTGGGGAAGGAAAGAGACAGATGCAGAGTCCAGCTCTGGTACCCTCCAGCTGAAGGGCTTCTTTGAGCTTCACCTCGCGTTCCCCTTCTGTAAAATGGGAGAATGGCACCATTTCCGTGGGGTTGCTGGTGAGGGTCCATGATGATGATGGATGGGGGGAAAGGTTTGCAAACTGCCAACAGGGTCACCGCCACTGCAGGGGGCCAGTGCTGAGTGGGAGGCTGGTATTTAACGCCCAGGACAGACTCCTAAGTCCCCGCCCTGCCTGGCTCAGACTCCCAGCCCAGGCTGGCGCTCCCTAGGGCTCCCAAACTCATCCCAGCACGAACTGCCTGGGCCCTGCCCTGGAGCCACAGGGGAGGTTTTCTGAGCCGCACACCATCCATCACCTCGATGAGGCTCTCGGCCCAACATCTGTTCTCACTGAACGATACGCCAAAGGCGTCTGGTTTTCGTCCTCTTGAAGCTCGTCTAGGGCTTTTTTTTCTCTTTTGCAAACTTAAAGGGGCTGGAGTGGCTGGGGCATAGCTGAGGTCACTGGGCCTGTCATGTGGTGAGAGTGATCCTCCCCAGGCCTGCAGGAGGGGCTGGCAGAGCCAGGTCACCGGAGCGCAGGTGGCCCGCACACGGAGGAGCCTGGCTCCCGGCCTCGGAGCCTTTCAATCTGGGTTCCCTCTGAGCATCTGGCGCTTTGATCTTGTGGGAACTGTGCCTGCTCGGGCTTCCCTCTTGTCTTGGCTGCTGGGAAGCGAAGAGCCAATGGGCTCCTCACTCTTTTACGGCCCACGCTCCCCTGCCTGCTGCCTGCCTGCCTCAGCTTCCCCTGGGAGCCTGGCCCCTGGGGGCCTTTTCCCTGAGGTTCCCCAGTTTATTCTGTCTGTCCATCTGGTATCCGATTCCTGCCAGCTGCCTCTGGGTCTCTGTGAGGAGTCTGGGGATGCATGTGGGAGTGATGACTAACTGAATACATTCCCCCAGTGCCGGGAGTCCCTGATACTACTTGGACCAAACTCCCGATGCCTTCCCTTTGAACTTCCACCGAGGGGTGGTGGAGCAGGCAGAGGCGGCCAGCTTTCCCTTTGTGCGTGAGTGCACATCTGTGCGCTGCAGGGTGGCCGTGTGGGCGTCACTCTGAATTCAGGGGCTGCCTGCACAGAGGCCACTGAGCATCCTTCTCGAGGCTGATGTCTCCACCACGAGAGGAGGAACTGTAACCACTACAGAGAGGCGAGTGTCTCCACCAACCCTAGCCCTCCGGCTGGGTGTAGCCAGCTCTGGGAGCTCCAGGCCCAGGGGTTGGGAGGCCTCCTGCCTGCTGGTGTTCCCAGGTCCAGCTCAAAGACCACCTCTCCAGAGGCAGAAAGGCCAGTCCCTTTCTTGGGACTCACACAGGCTAGTCTGAGTGAGCACAGGCCAAGTTCTGACCAGCACGTGGCCCACTCGTGCCTCTCATCTCCCCACTGGACCATCCACTGGGGCAGCAGTGCTGTCACTTACTGGGTGGCCCAGGAGGGGCTGGGCCTCAGCACCTGCTGTCCCAGCAGATGAGGACAAGCTTTCCCTTCCAGGGCTGAGGTGAGGATCTATCTAACAAACTTTAGACTTAGCCATGCCTGGCCCAGGTCCCGGCCTGTAGTAGCTGCTCAACAATCATGATTCCTTGCCTGGGGTTATAACCAGAGGGAAATCCCACCCCCACCCTCAAGTCAAAGGGCCCTCACAGGCTCACGGTGCCTTTCAGCCTTTTGTGTGGAGAGCCCTCTCCGTAGGGGAACGGGCTGTCCGTTTCCCGGTGCAGGTAATTAAGGCTCAGGCCTTGGAGAGGTGGGGTACACTGTAGGGGCGGGGGGGGGAGCAGGAGCTGAGCTCGGGCTGGGGCACTGCTGGTGGCCTTACGCTGGGACAGCAGGATGAGCACTGGGCCTCTCCACTGTGGCAGGGGTGGAGGTGGCATGGGCATGGACCATGGGATCCTGAGACATGGATCTGGCCAGACAGCCTCCAAGGGTCTTGTAGGCCCTTCCTGTCTCTGTACAGAGGCCAAGATGGGGGTGAGGTTGAGTGTGAGTGGCCACCTCTCTCTGGACCCCCAGACTTTGTTTCCCGAGTTGCCCTAGACAATGGTTGTGCCTAAAGTTCATGTTTTGAGCCAGGGGCTCGGGGTCCCTGGGTGCTGACCACCCCTTCCCACAGTTCCTCATGGTGGGTCACCTGCACCAGGCCCGTCCCAGGCCTTCATACCCCATGCTCATGGCAGCTTGGTGAGAGGCTTCTGTACCCTCTACCTCCCTGGTGAGGAATGGGTGCAGGGAGCTCGGAATCCACCCAGGGCTGGGGAGCGAGCCAGGAAGTGGCAGAATAGTTGGGACCGGCTGGACTAATGCAAGCCTGCCTGGCAGCCTCAAATCTCTGTCTTCAGTAGGCCCCAGCCCCAGAGCCCCAGTGATCTCTCCGTCCCTCCCCCAGGGCTCCAGTCTTTATCAACGCTGCCCTCTGGGCCCAGGCCACATCTGAGGAGGCTCCCTACCCACCCTCACCTGGGGCCCTGGGGCCCTGGGGCCCTGGGACTGGTCCTGCTACTGCCTTGACATCAGAGTCCAGCACCTGCTCTTACTGCTGCCCTCTGGGCCAGGCCACCAGTGTCCTCCTAGGTGACCTGCACAGCCTCCCAGTGGCCCCTCCAGACCACAGCCTCACTCTGGTCAGCCAGTGCTTGCAGGATGGTGTAGTAACCCTGAGAACCAACATTCAGGGGCCTCCTCTGCCAGGCCCTGTGCTGAAGGGGGTGGGGGGAGACAGGGAGTGGAGTCAGGAGTCAGAGCCAGCATCCAGCAATCAGCCTGTCCTCCATGTCGCCTTGTGGGGGTCCTTGGGCAGGCTACGGCGTCTACCTGGGCCCTCAGTGCCCCTGCGGCACAGGGGGATCATTTCTGCTGTGCCCACCTTGGCTGCATCGCTCCAAGGCAAACAGACGCCCACTGTACTGAGTGATACATACGGAAAGGGGGGCAGGGAAATCTACCCAGTCCTTTGGGCTAAAGTGGGAGTTGGGGGCTGAAGTGACGGGCAGGAGCATAATTTGTGGGACCCAGTGTAAAATAAAAATAAAGATAAAAATAAGGGCCTTTTCAAAAATTAAGAATTTTAAGACAGCAGAGCATCAACCAACTGTGGGCCTTCGGGGGGGGCGGCCTGGGCGAGTTTGTGAGTCATGAACCCTTGAAGCAGGCCCTGTCCCAGGTCACACAACTATTGGGGGGAGCCAGCATTTGGACCGACAAACACAAGGCCCCAGGCTAATGAGTGAGTCAGGCCAGGCCAGAAAGCTGGGCCCTCGACAGGGCTCCTAAGGGTGGCTCCCTGTGAGGCAGCAGAGCAGGTGGCCGGAGGAAGTGAAGGTGCCCCCGCGGTGCCAGCCTCCTCACTCAGCGAGTGGGGAGAACTCCTACTCACAGGGCTGGGCTGGCAAGGTGGGGAGGGTAGGCATGGGCTGGGGATGTAAGGAATGGACCTAGGAATAAACCCCTCTTCAGGTGACATCGCTTGGACCTCTAAGGGTGGCTATGTGGTTACATGAGGTTGGGGACAGCGTGGGGCTCAGTCTGTACCCACCAGATGTCAGCCATTATGACCATAACTGCCCCACTACTCCTGGTCTTCCCATCCTCCAGGTCTCCAGCCCCTCTGTCCCCCTCCCTGGGACTCTCTCAGCATCTCCTTTACCGAGTGCTATTCTGTGGGCCAGGCCCCAGATGCACAGGTTAGGGTACCTCGTCTGAACCCAGCAAGGTGGACGGATTATGGCCTCATGTCTACTTGATGGAAGGAAACCTGGGCTCAGAGGTGGACAAGTACAGGGAGAAGGGCAGGTGCCAGCTGTGGGAGTGCAGGGGAAGGAATTCTTAGCTACCATCCTGTGCCTCAGTTTCACCTGTAAAATGGGAATCACTTTAGCACGACTCTCAGAGTGGCTGTGAGCTAAGTGAAGGCTGAGGACAGTGTGCTGCCCAGAGAAAGCTGGGGCTAAAGATGAACAATTCCTGTGGCCACTGGGCCTGGGCCTAGAGACCCCTGGGATGGCTGCCAAGCCTCAAGCCTGCCTCTACTCTTGACCCAGGGCCCTGGACTGCGGAGTCCACAGCCTCGAACCTTGGCCAAGACTGCTGCTCACAGCTCGCTGGGCCTGGGGTGCCTCTTCCTTTCTCAGGGCTTTACTTTGCCATCTGTGCAGTGGGGACAGCTGCCTCCCAAGACTCACTGGAGAGAGCTGAGTGGGCTGCAGCGTTCGGAGACGGCCCGAGGAAGCAGTGGGTACTCACTATGGGGGAGGTTGCAAAGGCTGGAAGCTCTCCCAAGGGGGCGGCAGTGGGCTTCCTGCACCAGCCAGCACATCCCACACTCCCAGCCCTGCCCTGTGCAGGAGGCTAGTGGTCCTGGGGATAAGCCAGGGAAGAGGGCAGACGTGGGCTCTGCCTGGGGGGCGCACAGCAGTCAGACTGCCGGGAGGCTGCTCTCAGCCCATGTGAACCACCTGTGGTTGGAAGAATACCAGCCCCTGAAATGTCCGTATCTTAATCCTCTGTGGCGCTATGTGGCGAAAGGGACTTTGTAGATGTGATTAAAAACTACAGTCCTTGAGTTGGGAGATCACTGTGGACTATCTGGGTGGGCCCAATGTGGGCACATGGGGCTTTAGAAGTGGAAGAGGGAGGTCTGAGAAAGACGTGGTGTTGGACGCAGGGCTGGACAGATATGGTGCTGCAGGCTTTGAAGGTGGAGGAAGGGGCTGTGAGCCAAGGGATGTGGGGCAAGAAGCTGGAAAGGCTAGGAAATGATTCGCCCCTAGAGCTTCCAGGAGGAATGCAGCCCTGCTGACACCCTGACTTTAGCCAGTGAGCACCAAGTCCCATTTCTGACACAGGAGAGAGTACCTTGTGCTGTTTTCAGGCACTAGGAGTGTGGTAACTAGTTAACAGCAGCAACAGGAAACGTACGCATCTAGCCCAAGGATGCTTGTGGGAAAGGAACTCGTTAGAGACCCGGAGTTGACGAGTGTGGCTCCCAGATCTTATCAGTCCTGCTGTAAGCTGTGGTCAGCTTGGCTGAGCACTCAGATGTTTCACACGGGAAAGTAGGCCAAATAATTGAAATAATCACTCTGACCCTCTCATCCAAACATTTTCACTGAGGGGACTGTAAAACCAGTTATATATTTTGAGGCCAAGTTAAGGTAGACACAACTGCTCCTTTCTTAGCCTGTACTCAGTGGCTGGGGTAATTACAAACAGCAACTGAGACCCCAGGGTGGGATAGGGCCTTGGCCCTAAATGTCCCCAGGCCACTATGTTACAGAACCACCCCCCTCCCCAAGCTCTCTGGAGGTTTCACCCTCAAGACTGACAACTACCATGTTTTACTGCCTGCAGTCTTCCCTCCGGGGCCCTCTCCTCCCACCGAAGCAGGGTCAGGCCTGCCCTAGCTGCACAGGCTGAGCAAGCCACTTCCCCTTGGAGCTGTGTCTTCACTGGTTTCTAACAGAGACAGAGAGACAGCCCTCTCTACTGCTGGTGCTCCAGGGACGGAGCCTCTGGGAGCCACGGGAAAGTAGCCAGTGTAGTACAGCCAGAGTGTCAGTGACACTGCAGGGTCTCAGTGCTGGCTCGGTATGTTTCCATACTTGAGAACCTTGTAACCAAAACGCTAACCTCTGACCAGGTAAGCAGGCAGGTTCTAAGAGAGGAAGAGAGGCTCAAATATGGGCCCAGGGCTCAGGTTTTAGCTCAGACATCTTGTGCCATTTTTTGCTTAGGTCCTGGCTCTTGGTCATGTTAAGAGATGAAGCAGCTAATTAAATGAGCAGTAGACATCTAAGGTACCTGTGAGCTCTGCAGTCTGGGCACAAATATTTCCGAAATAACTGAGTCAAACAGCCTATAAGAGCATATAAGACCCAAATTCTCCCTCCATCTGGGGGAAGGCAAGCTGGAACACGGAGCCTGCAGTGAGGAGGCACTTGTCTGTTCGGAGACACTGAGATGTGGAGAGGGGAAAGGAAGCCCTCTCTCACAATGCTTCCCTACCCACCTTGAAAACAAGCCCCATCTACCCAGGAGATAACTTGCATCTCAGGGCTGGAAGACACCTGCCAGGCCCCCTCAGCCACGGGGTGGCTTCGGCACACGTGCCTGCTCTGGCAAAGCCCTGAACCACAACTACAATGGGCACTGCTCACATGAGACCATTCACAGGCACCATGGCCCCAGTCTTCCTTGCAACAGTTGCTCATCTGGAGCTGGATGGCCCAGGGTCTGACCTTGCCATGGAATTCCCCAGTGTCTCACCTTCCTCATCTGTTCCTGGGCCACAGAACAAGCTCCCTCCCCCTTTGCCTGTTCATCCCCAGTCCCCTCCCAGGACCCCAAAGAGGGCTCAAGTGGCCCACTAGCTGGAGGATCCACTGGGTTACCCTGCCTGTGCTCCATCCCACAGGCCAGTGACACTCTGATTCCCCTCACTGTCTTGGCTGCTCTTTCCCTGCCAGGGCTGGGCTCTTAGCAGATTACCCAGGTGTGCTCTGAGCAGCACTGGGCAGAATGGGGATGGTCACCTCCCTCATGCTCCATCCCTTGCCTCTATTAATATAGCCTAGGAGCAGCCATGTCTTGCTGGGGACTACTAGCTAGGGCCTGATATCCAACAGGACCCTAAGTCTGTACCACACAGCTATGCTCAGAGGAGCCAGATGCTAAGAATTATGAGCTCCTGAGGGTGGGCTCAGCTGTGCATGGCGCCCTTCAGGAAGCCTCTGAGGATGGTCACCTAGGTAAGGACCTGGGCTGGTGGTCCTTCTCCCCCAGGGGTCCTGTTGTAGGAAGGCTGGAGGAGGGAGAGGCCTCTTCTGCCTGAGGACAAGACAGGCTCTAAGGGGATGGGGGGAGATTTCTATATTAGAGAGGTGGGAATGTCGGGGGCCAGTCAGCATCCATTCCCTTGGCCCCTCCTGATGCCTACTTCCGAAACCCTGGTAAGGTGGCTGGCTGTGTTCTAGGTGCCTCTTTCCACATCTCCCTGACCCCCTCCAGGATCAGGCTCTGGGCCATTACCTACCTACTCTAATTAGAAAAAGCAAGTGCAGAGGCCCTTCCCTCCACCTACACACCTACTCTGCCACTCACCTGCCTGATGCCGACTCAGCTCGGCTTTCTCCTGCTACCACCTCTCACTGGTCCTCCTGCTCTGGGGCTCTGGCCTCTGCAGCAGTGCCCCCCTCTCCCAGTAAGTGAGGCTGAGAGGCCTGGACCCTCTTGGGCCTCAGAGCACCAGCAACTCTTAGGTTCCCATTGTTCACTTCTAGCCACCTTTCCAGAAAGTCCACAGTGCTAATTCACACCTTCCTGGAGGGCAGTGGGCATGCCTGCTTGTGGGGCCATCAAGCCTACCTCTTGGCCATTTCCAGCGTTTCCCAGGCCAACCCAGATAGTGCAGGTCAAGACAGCCCTGTCCAGAGAACCTGCAAAGAGTGGCTTCTGGTCTGAGCTGAGCCACCTGCCTATGTGACTAGAGGTGAATCCCCGAGACTTGCTTGCCCTCAGCAAGCAGGATGTGTTCTCATCCTAGAAACAAGGCTATGCGTGTTCTGCCCCCTGTGGACTTCAGGGTTCACAGAGTACTGTCAGCCAGCCCATGAGCTCCTTTGCTTCTCAAAGCCCCACGGGAGAGGATAAGCCTCAAGCCTACTCCCAGCACACAAGGCCCCATCCCTCCCATGGCCCCACTTAGATCTCTCTCCTCCCTAGATGTCTGGGTTCCTCTGAGGTTCACATGAGGACAGAGAAACTACGTGACCTTTCCAGGACCCTCAGGATCTGACCTCCATGGTCCTGTGATCTGACAATTAAGGTGACCCACACTGACATGAGCTCTGGGCTAAGCTCAGGTAGTGTGATCTGGGGCAAGCCAGGGCACCCCAGTGACCCTTGGTTTCCTCATCTGAGACACAGGGAATGCCCCACCTGGCCCCACAGCATCCAAGGCTGGTGTGACCTATCCCAGTGGCACAAACAAGGCTGTGACCATCTTTGGTAATCCTACATCTGTGTTCCAGAGGCTGAGGCAGCTGGCACCACCGAGGGGCCAGCAGCCCCAAAACTGTGGCACCAACTGGGAAACAGGAATGAATGAATGAGGCCGACTTGCTCTTCTGCTGTGCAGACTGAGCTCAGCGGAAGAGCAATCGAATTCTCCCCTCCTCCCTTCCCACGCACTGCCCTGGCCTGGGTCAGCCACGCCAGCAGCCTCTGAGCCACCGAGTGGCACCAGGTGCTTCTGGGCATGGCACCCTGGAGTCTGGGTCCAGCCCAGGGGCAGTACTCAGGGTGAAGCTGACATCATGTGGACCCCCAAGGCAAGTGGGTACCAGAGGGGTTACCACGGAAAAGTGGGTGAAGGCTGCTAATCCAGCAGCCTAGGGCTGGGGTTATTCATGGAGTTGGGAGCCTTGGGGCCAGGAGGGGTGAGTGAGGCCTGCTAGATGGCCTTAAGGGGTGGGGAACCCTTTTGCCGTGAAGGGCCATTTGGATGTTTATAACATCATTCACAGGCTATACAAAATCATCAACTTAAAAATTAGCTATGAAAAAAACTCCTAGATTTATTGATTTTCGATTCCCGCCTGCAGTTGCCTTGGCAGGGCCAGACCAAATGATTTTGCGGGCATACGTTCCCCATCCCTGCCTTAACCGGTCCTCCCCTCCCTGGGTAGCAAATTTCCCAACCATAAACCAAGCAGGGTTGACGGGATGCCCTTAAGATCCCCAGCCCTGAATCTAGACATGGCCTTTTTTCTTAACGTGGCTTCTGTCCTAAGGAGGAGACGGATGAGACCCAGGCCGCCTGCATGCCTGCTCTACACGAATGTGAATGCCCTCCTCTGCTCCTGCGGTCAGTGTGCTGTGCTGATCCCAGGGTCTAACTGCCAAAGTGGTATTACCGCACGCAGAGGGGTTTACTGCACACGAGTCCTCACACGCAGAGGCCACAAGACATGGGCTCTGGCTTCTCTGCTACAAACACACAAAGAAATACACGTGTTTGATGAAAGGCAAAAACTTTAAAAAGGAAAAAGTGAGTTCACATCTGGAGTGGAGCCCCCCACACTCACACATGGCACACGTGACCCCACACATGTGGGCACACCACACAGTCGGACAGCCCACATGCACACACCCCACACGCCTGCACACACTCACAGCCCGATATGCCAGCACACACGCAGACCCCTGCACATACCACACGCGCACGCGCACACACGCACACACGCGCAAAAGTGCAAGGACAACAAAGGAAGTGGAAGAAAAGTGTTACCCATGAGTAGGCGCCGTTTCACCCGCTTGTCCACATCAGCTACTGACGTGGCATTGAACTGAGAGCGCTCAATTGCAGCCTCATCCTTCTCTAAAACACAAGTAAGGGACAAACATGGAGCCACTGGTTAATGAGAGCCCACTTCCCGCGCCCAAGACAGTCAGCCTTTTGGTGTGGCGCACACAAAGCCAACACAGCATGCGGCCGGCGGCGTCCTCACCAAGGCGCTAAACCCAGGCACCTCCAAGGTGGCATGTTCAGGGCAGAGCGAAGAGGCGGCAGGGCAGGGGTGGGGTGGGGGGTGAAAGAAGGGGGTGACCACAAAGGGACGCAGACGGGACACAGGGCCCATCTGCACACAGAGGCGGCAGCATCTGCAGGGGCCACAGGAGCAGACCACTGCGGAGCCCACGCAGACACAGCAGTCACAGACACCATGGCTCGGGGTGGAGAGGCAGGCACAGGACAAGCACAGGACAGGGGACAGGGCGCGAGGTCCGGTGATGGCTGCGCCTGGACGGCAGACACCCTATCTCAAGGGCGTGAAAGTGTGTCAAACACTCATGCAAAATTAAGAACAAAACATAGAGGAGCAAACACACACACACACAACGATCCAATTGAGCAGAAAGAAAACCAGGGGATCGACTTGGGCAGCGCTGGTTGCCTGCTTGTCTATAGAGGGCTAGAGATACAGTCAGGTGCTCACAAGGGGCTGCAAAGATGGGTCAGTCATTTTAGGAGCGTGCAGAGAGAGCCCATGGGGCGCCGGGCAGGAAGCTCCGCCAAGACGCTCCCCACAGAGGAGCACGTGAGGTTAGCCGGTTCTGCTTCTTTGCTCAGAGGGAGGTATGCAGAGACCTTGCTCACGGGGAACCTAAGGAGCAGGGAGCAGGCAGATGGAAGGTTCTCCTGGCCAGCAGGGAGCAATGGCTCAGGAGCTGGGTCTGGGAAAAGGTTTCTAAGAGGAGGGGAGGAGAGGGAAAGAGGGGGCAAGGGAAGTTACATTAGAAAGGAGATCCAAGCAGGGGCCGTCACATGCAGCAGACACTACAAGATAAAAAATAAGGGTGAGTCGGGTGGACAAAGACAAGGTGTGTTAGACGAGGCTGGGTGGGTATCTGACCGGCAGCTGTTTGCGCTGGCCCAGTGGCCTGAGAGGCGGCTCCACCGCAGACGCAAACACTGAGGGAGATCCCAGCAGACGAGACAGGGAGGGGGCTGGGGGCCCCGGAGAGGCCCGGGGGGACAGCAGAGACAGGGAGAGAGGTGGGAGAGGAGGTTCTAGATGGGATCAGGCTGCAATAGAGACACTGGTCTGAGACCGGGTTTTGCTTTGAATTTTTTTTGGTTGTTTGGTTTGGTTTGGCTTTTGGCTCTGAAAATAACTAATGAACATCAGTTATCAGACAAGACAGGCAATCAGGGACCATCACCAGAAAAGCAGGAGGAATGAGATAAAATGAAACCAAAAACGGCTGTCGGAGAGGAGGGACCACACAGAGGAAGGGAGAACCACGCAGGCAGCAGCACCTGGGACGACAGCCAGGACTAGGATGTGACCCTGGCGCCCCACCCCGGCCCCCACCCCTCTGCCTGACTCCCAGACACCGGGGCACAGAGTCACAGGGGACAGAATGCAACAGCAAACTCTGCGTGTTATGGCTTTTCCTGCTTGCCAACCCCTTTCTTGTCACTTGAAAGTGTCTTGAGAACTATCTTCCTCATTGATAAGAGGAAACGGGGCTTTTTTAAAAAACAGAAATATAACCATGAAAACTGACTTGGGGGTCCCCCGAGTTCGCCAGCACTGAAGAGCAAGGAGGACCAACCTTGAAATCCCTTTTTCTCAGTTAAAAAGTGGCTGTTATTTTTGAGTGGGAAAGGAACCCACTAGTGATTATGGCACCAGATAATCATTAACATTCACACTTCCCCTTGGAAATAAGACCAGGAGGAAGGAGGTGACCGAGACTCACATGGAGACCCCGTGTGACAGGTGAGGTGACGGGAGGGCATCGCTGAGAAGGGACTCTCAGTGGGACAGGAAGTCCGGCCAGAGCCCCGCTAGTTCGGGCAGGGAGAGTAGTAAAAACACCCAGGCCCTCCCCCGGTTCTAGGATGAAGACTTAAAGCAGCTTCTGGAAAACCTCTTGGTTTCCCAGACTGCGGGGCAGCTCACGTCGCTCATGGGGCGTGAGGAGGTTAAGTGAGTCTGCTGTGTGTCTGTCTTCACAGGAGGGGAGGAACCTGTGCTTCAGGAATAGAAGCTGCCCACCTCAGGTACACACACCTTCCCCCGCCCACAGGCCACCTGCCCGGGGCCCGCTCCAGTGTGGAGGAGGGAGGCCTGCAGAAAACGGAGCGTGACACAAGGCAGGGGCACCTGGTCCTGCGGGCTGAATGGCCCTGGTGCCTCCACAGAGGATTCCCATCGTCTCTGTGAGGCACACATTTTTCTGTTTCCCTTAAGCTTCCTTCTTGGAAACGGGGGCAGGGTGGGGTGCTAGCTGACTTCAGAGCCACCAGCGCACCCTGTGGAGGGCAGGGTGGTGCAAGAGTGCTAGCGCGGCAAAGGAGTCTACTTACCAATGCATGTCCGGCCGTCCGAGTGGAGAGCATACTTCTGGTGGCAGCCACACATCGGGCCGGTGTCTGTGTCCTCACAGCTGTGCTGGCAGCCTCCGTTTCCATAGTTACAGGTTACTAGTTAGGCCCGAAGTGTACATACGTACGTATAAACAGAACGACAAGAACGATTAGTTTATCGGTGTGAGTTTCTTTTAAGGGAAGGGGAGAGTGGGGCTATGAGACTGTCAGTGACTGGGCCCACCTTCCCTGGGCCTCAGCGCTCGAGGGTCCTGGATGGCATGGTTCACTTCCCAACAGTCGCTGGGTGGGACAGAGAATGCACTATGGTGACCTGGGCTTCCAACAGACGGCGCACAGATGATGCACTCAGATGGTGCGAGTCAAGGAAGGGACGAGCTAGACAATCTGACCCTTCCTGGGCCGCCAGACACTTCAGCCAGACTCGATGGGGCAAATGTCTATAACAGCAGGCATATTGCGGGGGGGGAGGAGGGGACACTTGTTTTCCTTGGTTCTTGAGAGCTTTCTTTCCTCTGCTTAAGTCTTAGGCCTGTGGAAAGGTGTCCCCATGGATGTCTATGCTCTCCAAGTCCCAGAAGCTGTCTCAAACTCTATCCCCTCAAAGCCCTAATCTCCCCAAGGCATGTCCAAGTGGACAGAATGTGTGCAAGTTAGTGTTGCCTCAGGCACAGTTTTGAAAATGACCTTTTATTTAAGCACATTACATAGCTTTCAATGCCTAAGGGCGTGGAGAAGCTGGTACTTTTCAGCCCAGAACCTTAAAATATTCCATAGCATCAGAGACATGCGGCGGCTAAAAAGGGGGCTGAATAAACACGAGCCAGTCTGAAGCAAGGAAAACGATAAATTCGAGTTTATTCAAAAGAAAACATGCTGCTGTCACTTTCCAGGTGGGGGACTCTCACTAAAGGAAGCGCAGATCTCCGGGAAGGGCTCCTGCCGCCCTGCTTCAATTTGCCAGTGAGACCACAGGGTGCCTGTCCCCTGCTACACAGGGCCTGGAGGACAGGGCCTCTCCTTGGATGCCCTAGCCATCTGTCCATAATTCAACCTACACCCCTAATTCACTTGGCGAACCCCTGGTGATCAAATATGCAAAAATCAATAGACCAACCGCAGAGGGGCTAAAAACCCTGAACTGGCAGAGTCCGAGCGAATGCCTTCCATCAGGGTGACTCAAGAGCAGGGCCGGTCCCAGGGGAGTTGTTTGGTGGCAATGCTCCGTGAAGGAGCCCAAGAATCTCAGCCGAGTTCTGCAGCCATGTTCCCAGGTCCTGCTTTTTCCCCACAAACATGCATAGAGCCTCCACGAGCCCCCAATCTGAGCGACGGTGCCTGGCAGAGAGACGCACAGAGAATGGCTCCTGCTCAGTGTCCCAGACGCTGTTCTAGTGACCAGAGGTCCCAGCAGGCCACCTCTTCCACAGGGAGCTGAAGAGCATCCGAAGGTGGGGCCCGACTTCCAGGGTGACACTTCAAGGACCTGCAAAACTGCTTCAGCTGGGGCTTCGAGCACAACGTCCTTGGGCCACTTCTCCACAGGAGCATCCCTCCTCTTGGTGTCCCAGGGAACCTGGCAGCCTGGAGTTGCTCTCCCATCGCTGAAATAGCTCATCTCTAGCCCAGGACGAGGCCCAGGACGAGGCCCAGGGTAGCCCAGGGTTCCAGCGGGTGGCCACTTAGCATAGACCCCAGATGAGGGAGAGACCTATGCAGAGCCCCACTGTAGGCAAGACATCACGTCCCTTTCCAGAGTGAAAAAGCCCTGTCTGAGTGGGTGGTGGGGAGCCGGAGAATAGGCAGCAAGAATACTGCGGCTAGTTCTTTCCAAGTTTGGGGTCCAGGAGATGAGCTATGCCCTAGAAGTGAGGACACAGGTCTGTTCGAGGCAACTGGAGGGAGGGCCATGCTGAGGGTCCCTCGCTCCCTCCACACAGGTGTTTGTGCCTCTCACAGACCCCAAAGGTTGAGCTTGTGAGCACTTGAAGGGCCCACAGCTCCTGTGGAAATAAATACCAGCACCTAGGGCTCTGGGAAGACCGAGAAGAATGGGAAAACCTCCCTGACCCTGGTGTGGGTCGTGGGTCCTGAGTCCTGGGCCCTGGGGGGGTGAGAGTTTGGTCCTGCTGGTCAGTCAAGGCTGGCTGGGCCCAGCCTCAGCCCCAACCCAACTCCAGAGATGGAATTTCCTGGACCTTGAGTGACCTCAAGGGATAGGGGGAAAATCTCATTGCTAACGACTGTAGCCCTGCTACATTAACCACTGGGAAGGGTCCAGAGTCGACTAGGTGGACAGCCATCTGTGCACCCCTATACAGGAGGGCGGGGGCACGCACCCACTGCTTGGCCCCAGGCGCTATCAGACCCTCCATACACCTTGGTGACTCCAGCCACTGCACAGGGAGGGAGGGACTGCTGTTTCTTTCACTAGCAAATGCTCTGGGCAAGGGCTTGACTCTTCTCCATTGGGGTGAGGTAGGGGTAGTCTTAGCCATTCACAGGGCCCTGCTTGTCCCTGACCACTCAGATCAGGTTGGCCACTCAGGAGGTACTCTTTGAGTAAAGTGTCCCCTTGTAGCACTCATCCCAGATGGAATTAGCACTCATCCCAGATGGAATTAAAGAATGAGGCAGCTGGCCGGTCAGCCCCAGCCACCTCCCAGGGCTGGCAGCTCTCCCCCCAGCGCCTCGCTCAGGGCTTGGCCAGGGAGAGTGTCGGCCAGTCTTGCTCCCTGAAGGAATGTGCTCTCCTTCCTGCGAGCCTGTCAACAAGCCTGCCTGCTCCACATGTGCCTGCCCTTGGCCTCTGTCCTGAGGAAGCTCGGATTACCAGCAGGAGGGCCAGGAAAGCTGGAGTTATTCACATTCTGTTCTGAAGGTTGCCGGGTGGCAGGAGCTCTCTGTGCAGCTAAAGGAATGTGTCTGGTATAGCGGACAGGAGGGCCTGGCCGGAGCATGGTGCTGGAGCTGGGCATGTCCCTGAGTGTCCTGCCATTGAGGATAGCACACATGTTTATCTCTGCGACTCCATAGGAAAGACCACAAAACAAGAGGAAGGTCCACATCTTGGCCCACACCGTGGCAGAAGGAAGCATCTTCGCTTTGAGGGATGGCTGAATCATGAGTGGGGGCTGGAGTGTGAGCTCCTTGAAGACAGGGACTGTGCCTGATATATGTGGGTCCCCAAGATCTTGGTCACTGTTGGAGGAGAGCATGAGCTGGGAAAGGTATGGCAGGTGACCAAGGGAGAGTGGATGACTCTGAGAGAATCACCATGACTGAGGATGGTGGTGTCCTTTCTGCAGAACGAAGGGTGGAAAGCAAGGCCATTTTCTTGTGAGAGTTGGTCAGCCCCAGCCTCCCACTGCAGTGGCCAGGATGGGCCGCTTTCTCTATTGGGAGTTGGATCCAGGCTCCTCCATATCATGTCCTGCATCAGGAAGGGGGCCTGGTGTGGAGCACCTGTCTTTGCCAGAACTGGGCATACTCACACCAGCTCCTCAGCTTTCTGCAGACATGGGACAAACAGAGTAGTCTGGGTATCAGCTGCCCAGGGAGCAGAGGCCTCATCTCACTGCTCCCCACACAGTGGATGGAGGTGGGCTGGGTCTGAAGCTTCTGAGGACTAGCTGTGTGTTCGGCCACTGTCCTACTTTGTTTGCTGGCTCCTACTGCTGGGGAGCTGGGTGACTCTATTAAAAGGCTGAAACCTCGGAGCTGGTCCAGAAACGGCCCCTTTGGCCAGAGGCCTCATTCAACCCAGGTCTCCCAGGGTAGCACCATCTACGGTGGGCTTTGCTGGGGTAGACCGTGCGTTCTGATCTTAGGTCATGGGAATAAGGTCAGCTCAGCCTGGGCTTGGACCTTCCAGAGCCAAGCCCAGCCTTTCTTTATATCACCCTGCTGCGAGGGCTGCCCTGGCCCGCTGGAAGTCCGAGCTTGTAGGCCCTGTGCAATAGCCCCTCCATTCTTGCTGTAGAGCGAGAGCTTAGGGCCAGTGGGTCTCTGGGGTCAGGGGGAGAGGGTAGGGGTACAAGCACTGGCAGGGCGAGCATGCAGGGCCCAACGTAAGACCTAGCCCAGCTCTGGGCCTGTGTGTGTGGTGTTATGCCAGGTGGGAAAGCCCCAAGCCTGGGGTTCACAGCCCCATTCCCCATGCCTCCCCAGACAGCTTCAAGGGCCCTGCTTTTTTCTCCACCCCAGGCGCTGAGAGCCCTCCCAGGGCCACATCCAGCAGACTGGACAGACCCTCCCACAAAGCAATGACAGGAGACGCGTGGGGATGTCTGACCCATTTGCCTCCATCTACCTACGTGTGCAGTCCTTCTGGTTTGGGGCAAGGTCAAAGCCGGGCCTGCAGTCGCAGGCTACCCCACCTTTGGGCGTCTCCCGGCAGATGTGGGCACAGCCATGGTCTTTGTTCATGCAGTTCATACCCTCTGGGAAGAGACAGACAAGACAGGGGTTGGGGACCATGGGGAGAGAGGAAGAGAACATTTTAGGCTGAAAAGAGACAGTCAATGAAACATCACGATCACATGGAGTGTTTCTGGGCTGCTGTGAGCACACATACTGTACACAGGCATGGGGTGTGCAACACGCTATCTAGATGGGGGGCCCTGGGGCAAACAAGGAGACAGTACCTGGGTGTAGAGCCAGGCCTCGCTCCGAGAGTCACACAGTAACTGGCAGTGAGGAATCCACAGGAGAGCCTCTCTCCTCATTGGATTATGGGGTTTGGTCTCTGAAACTGCTTTTAGGTCAGGGCTTTACAGTGTCCCCACTAAAGCAGGTGTGAGTGGCATTAAAACGGTGGTGTACAGCACTTTTCAGTTTGCACAGAAATGCCACATGTTCCTATGAGGCAGGCAGAGCCCTGAGTTCATGTGCCGGGGGCCAGCCTCCAGACGTCACCCTCCAGGCACTGTCAGTCCGCCTAACCATCCACCTCTCACTGAGCTTCTGCACAACTCTACTCCACAGACCTTCGAGCCTTATCCTCACCACCCCCACAGCTATATGCTGAACTACCCCGCCCCCCCAACAGTTGCCAGAGGGGTCATCACATGTACCTGGTCACTGTAGTGCTAGCCAGGAGCCCCAGAACCCTCACCTCCAAGTGCAAAGCCTGGCACAACCTGGCGCTGGTCTCTAGCTCTGCATATACCCCTGTGCCTGTACCCTCAGCCCTCACAGAGTCCATTCCAAGTTCACCATGTTCCTATTCTTGCCTAAGATTCCTGCTCATTGTCAGATGCTACCTTTTAAAGCAAAAATGTACTCAAACCTCGGGTACCTTTTTCTCCAAGGTCTCATCTTAAAAGGGAGGTCAGCGATTGCCCTCCCTGCTGGCTGGGAGCCTTCAGAAGGGGAGGGTGCCACAGGTACCAGGACTGGGCCACCGCACTGCCTGCTACAGTGCCGGCCCTCCAGCTGCAGAAGGCTTCATAGCTGGAGTGTTGCTCATGGTGGCCCTGCCCATGTCCTCCGGCCGCACTCGGAAGCCCTGTCCGGCACAAGGCCAGCCAGCTCCCTGTCTCCTCTGCTCCTAGGCTCTCAGAGTCTCCACTGGGGCTCCAAACCCCAGGCAGGAACAATGTCCTATGCATGTTCTTGCATAAGCCCTTGTCTCCTATAAAGACAAGCACCCCCTTCAGAGATGGGGGAACCATGATTAAGATGCCTGCCCTAAAAGCCCATGGTGTGCTGAAAGGAAACTCGAAGCCTGAACACAGGCCTCGGACTACAAAGCCCTGTTACCCTCCCCCCGAGAGGTCTCGCTGAGGGTACAGTTGGGCTGCCCGCAGGCTTTGAGAGCAGGGACTACTGGCTTCATGTCTCCGGAGGCCCAGCCTCTGCACCCACCCAGTCAGCTTTGAGGGCACTGATGTGATGGTGAGAACAATGTTCCCTCTTCTCAGTCACCACAGTTCCTGGGACATTCCCCCACCTCAGGAAACTTGATCTCCTTCCCCCCGACTGCCTGGAGCAGCCTGGACCCCCTTCGGTTGACCCCAGTTGATGTTTATGTTCCTGGTGATTTGTGAGCAGCTCCCAGAATTTATTAGGTCGGGGTCAAGTGAGAGGTTGTAGATCACAAGTCCATCAAGAGGCTAGAGGCGGATGAAAGGAAGTGCTGTTGTCTGCCCACGCACTGCCCCGAGACCTGACTTCCACTCCCACTGTGAGGGGCTGGCCTTGGACAGAGGGAGGACCCTGGAGGCGGGGACACACAGGTTGCCTCCTCAGAGGTGGCTCACTGGTCTCCTGTTCAAGGTGAGGACTAGCTGGATCCTGATCCTGTCCACCTGAAGCATGGGTGTGGGGTGACTGAGAATCAACATTTATTTAAAAACACAAACACCCTGGCAGCTACAATAAAGATTTGAAAAATTCTCAAGTTAAATAAAATCCAAACATTGAAATGAAAGAAGCCTGCATTTTGCTCAGCATGCTGACCTCTGATCTCACCTGATTTCACTACTCTTATTATTCCTTCACCTTGGTTTTCTTATTCAAATCAAATTGTTGGACTGACTCAGAGTATGACCAACTAATCAACAGCTGAGTCAGCAAAGTGCTTCAAGGCCAGGCTCCTCACAGGAAGGTTCGAGTCCACAAGGAACTCATTAAATTTCAAAACAGCAGGTAGCATGACCTGCAGAGTGGTGTGCTAACAAATGCTGAGCAACTGGCGGGGTGGGTGGGGCTTGGGAGGGGGCTGACTGGCAACATTTGCCCATTTCTGTGGTATAAATGCTCCAACCAAGCTCCAGGGAGATAGATATCCCTGGGATGGAAGTTGCTCTCGCGAGCTGGCGCATGGCTTTCCTAGAAAAGAAGTCTGGTAGACTCACGTAGGTGTGAGCACAGCCTGGCCTCCTCACTTGTTGGTGTGTCTTGGAGAAAACTGCTTCACTTCTTGCAGCCTCACCTGGGCAATGGGAACGATAAGCTCTGCCTCACAGACAGGAAAGTGCCAGGTAGGGTAGGCACTCAATAACTACGGGGCACTGACTTCCGAGGCTGGTCCTTCTCCTGTGGAGCTGGAGAAAGGGCAGCTTCTCAGGGGCCTCGGCCATGCCAGGCAGCCCCGCCTCCTAGGAGGCTTTCAGGACAAGGGCTCTTGGCCACTGAGATACATTCACACCTTGTAAGGTTTCTGACAGTGGGTGGTGGCCAGGGAGCAGCCTCCCTGACCATCATCAGTGGCCATCGTCAATGGTGGGCTGAGTCCAGGGGCACCCCTCACTTCTTGCTCATGTTTTTTGTGGCTCCTGGGTGCCCAAAAATGTATAAGAAGTTGGTGTCCTAGCTTCTCCCCAGCCTTGTCACCCACCACCTCCTACACGTACTCCTATAATCCCACACTGTGAGCTGACCAACCCCAAAGTGCCCCATCCACCCCCTCGCTCCTCCTGCCTTCCATAAACAAAGTCCTGGGCCTATCTAAACTCCGCCAATTCCACAGAACTTCCTGACTCGAGGGTTACACTAGTCTTGTCACCTCCCCATGGTTAGTGTGCCAGGCTGTGTTGTGGCTGGCACAGGAAACTGATGCCAGCAAGCAGATCTGTGCCTCCTTCCTAAGGTGAGGGCGCGAGACTCCTCTTTAAGCGCAAGCTCTTATGTGGTGCAGAAAGGGAGACTGAACTTCCATTCCCAGCCAAAGGATCACAACTTACAAGAAGCTCAATAATCTTTATCAACATAAACCTGTCACTGGGGAGCTGGCGGGCCCTGAACTGTGGACAATGGACAGAGTATTCAGCGTTAGAATAGCTGAGCTTTCTCCGACACCATGGACTTGCCATCAGCCCGAGTGCTTCAGAGGCACCTGCTCCCTGAGAAGATGGCCATGAGAGCTGCCCCTGGGCCAGATACAATTTCAGTCCTTCCCAGAAATCCCCGTCTTCAGGGGCCCAGTGCCAGCCAGGCCAGGCTGTCTGCCAGCTCAAATCTAATTTGATCCAACTCATCCAAATCCAATTATGTCCTGCAAACTTGGACCAAGTGTCTCGCTGGTGCCCAGGACGGGTGGGGAACAATGAGAATACAGACGTTCTGCCAAAACATCGCCAGGTCCCATTCAGACTCTGCCACATGCTATAGGACCTGGGCAATCACATTACCTCTCTGAGTGTTAGTTTCCACCTGTATGAAGTGGACAGTAACAGGACCTGCCCTCAGGCGCTCGCTCACTGTGCATCCCCTACTCTGGGCCAGTGAGGCTGGCTCAGGGTACAGGTAAGAAATGGAGGGACTCATCCTGGGCAGGGGAGCCAGGAACAGTGGTAAACTGGGCAGGGATGCTGCGGGGAAGTAAGGGCACGGCTGCCAGCCAGAGGCAGTCTGGGTTTTCCAGAAGATGTGATACAGGGACTGGGCTTTGACTACACTTTCATTTAGTTTAACCCTCATCATAAACCTGTGAAGTGGGTACTGCCCTGCCCATGGCACAAACACCCACAGGGAGGCTGGATCAGGGTGGGAGAAAGACCTGCCAGGGCCACATGTGTGAGAGGCAGAGCCCTGGCCCAGAGCAGCACCTTCCTCTCCTGAAGGCCCAGTGCTTCCTACTGGTGGGCTCTGTGACAGGTCCAGCAGCCCTTCCCCACCAGGGCCTCTTTTCCCCAAAGGCCTCTATCATTTTTGGATATTCCACCAGAGGGTATGCAGAGTTAGATGGCAGAATCTGCCTGCCCCAAACCAGAGCAAAGTTCATGGATATGGCTAAAGCAGGGCCACGGGCGGGGGGCGAGCTCAGTCTGCACGCGGAGCTAGTCTTTCTCACTGCCCCTACCAGGGTAACAAAGCTGGAATGCGTGCCTCCCAAGGGTTGTTGCTATGGTGACTTCATCAATAACATCACTTTCCGCATGCGAGTCCTTTAAACACCAGGGAAGGGAAGGCAAGTGGGAACAGCAGAGCAGGGAGGAAAGAACAATTATCTTGCTGTGCCTCCTCTCCCCCCCCCCCACTTAGGAGGAAAAGCTTTCCCTCCCCTTCCTCCTCATCAATAAAAGGTTATGCAGCCCTGAAAGAGGCTGGGGCCTCGGTGGTGGCAGGAACAGGCCAGATTCAGCAAGCTTCCCAAGCTATGCAGGGAAAAACAAACACAGCTCCCACGGCTCTGAAGGAGAGCTGACAAAACCCACAGAAAGGCCCTGCCTCAGGGGAAAGGCACAACACAGGGACCAAACTGGTGGGGGAGATGACGACGACAACACCTTCGCCCAGGGCTGCCCATGCACCACGCTGTTCCACATGCTTTAAAAACAGATGAAAAACGCTGAGCCACAGAGAGGTTAAAGCTGAGGTGAGGTGAGGTAGGGAGCTGGATCTAGGGGGCAGACCTGACGCAAGACAGAATGGGGGCAGCTCTGGGCTGTAGGCGGGCCAGCCAGGAACTCACTGCAGGCTGAGGATGACTGCAGCC